GCAAGATGCAAATCAGGCTCAATTTGCGAGGACACAGAACCAAGGGGTATATATTTTAAGAACAGTTTAATTTTATCTCTATAGTTTTTCCTCTCTGTAATTTTGGTTTGTATTTGTTTCCCGATTATCTTTTGTGTTGAGTTTTGCCTCAGGGGAATAGATTATAGTCTTTTCTCATGCAGTTATATCTAGCGGGAGTAGGTTGAATGTGCACCCTTTACTAAATTTGTTTGGTTCTGGCGTATTCTTTTGTGCTTTTTAACTTCTGTGCTTGTATATGAGGACAACATTGACTCGGATTTATTTCTGATACAATTGGTTTCTCATAATTTCAGGGAGGGCCCGCTCCTACTTTAATCAAAGCTGAGGTGCCATGGTCAGCTAGAAGGGGTACTCTATCTGATAAGGACCGTGTGTTGAAAACTGTGAAGGGGTAATATATCATGAAACATCAGCATATTGTATTACATCTTGATTATTTGCTCTCTATTTCCCACATATAATCATGGGATTACCCTTCTGTCCCAAGTTGTCATTGTTTGGTAATTTTTTGGTTTAGATAGATGTCTGTGAGAACATTGTGTTTAATGGCATTCACTTTATGTTTCTATGCAGGATTCTGAACAAGCTGACTCCGGAGAAGTTTGATCTCCTCAAAGGGCAACTTATAGACTCTGGCATTACATCGGCTGATATCTTAAAGGTTTTATTTTTTTATATACCCTTATTATAATGTGCTTTTCAGTTTTGTTTTATTACTTCTGGCAACTGTACTCACAATTTTCCTTGCATTCCAGGGGGTTATTTCACTGATATTTGATAAGGCCGTGCTAGAACCTACATTTTGCCCCATGTATGCTCTTCTGTGTTCTGATCTTAATGAAAAGCTTCCTCGGTTCCCCTCAGATGAACCAGATGGTAAAGAAATCACTTTCAAGCGCATCCTCTTGAATAACTGCCAGGAGGCTTTTGATGGCACTGACAAATTGAGAGAAGAAGTTGGACAGTTGACTGCCCCCGAACAAGAGATGGAGCGTAGGGATAAAGAAAGATTGGCCAAGATTCGTACTCTGGGAAACATTCGTTTAATTGGAGAGCTTCTGAAGCAGAAGATGGTACCTGAAAAGATTGTACATCACATTGTTGCGGTTCGTCTTGGATTTCCTCCTCCTTTGCCCTTGTTCAGCAATTACTCTTCAATATGTTGTTCATGGTTATTTTTTATGTGAAACAGGAACTCTTAGGATCTGATAACAAAATTTGTCCTGCTGAGGAAAACGTGGAAGCACTATGTCATTTTTTTACCACAATTGGAAAGCAGCTTGATGAGAAGCCAAAATCACGCAGTATAAACGATATGTACTTCAGCCGAATGAAGGAACTGACAACAAACCCTCAGTTGGCTCCAAGGTTGAGGTTCATGGTTCGTGATGTAATTGATTTGCGTTCCAACAATTGGGTTCCCAGACGTGAAGAGGTAGGCCATTGTCATATGTGCTCGACTTGTATATTAAATTGCTAATGTTTTTTGAACTAATAGTCATCTTATTTTGAAATTTGATCACAGATAAAAGCCAAAACCATCACTGAAATACATACAGAGGCAGAAAAAAATCTTGGATTGCGTCCAGGGACTACTGCAAGCATCCGAAGTGGTCGTAACGTTTCTGGTGCTCAAGGGAGTACCAGCCCTGGGGGATATCCCAACAACCGACCTGGTTTAGGGGGTATGATGCCTGGAATGCCTGGAATGCCCGGAACAAGGAAGATGCCTGGGATGCCTGGAATGGATAATGACAATTGGGAGGTTCAGAGGAACCGGTCAACGCCAAGGGGTGATGGGTTTGGTATGCAGCCTGGTGGTGGGCGTGGCCAGGTGCCGCTGGTTGGAAAATCAACATCTGTGAACACAAGGCTGTTACCTCAGGGTAGTGGTGGCCTTGGCAGTGGGAAACCTAGTGCCTTACTGCAGGGTAGTGGTGCCCCTCCTGCTCGTCCATCCGACCATGCTTATGGTGCAGAGCCTGTAGCTCAAGCGCCAGTGCCTGCTAGACCTGTTGTTGCTCCTTACGTAGCACCAGTTGTTGAAAAGCCACAAGCTCCAGCTCCAGCTGCGGTTCCAAAGTTGAAACGAGATGAGCTTAGGAGAAAAACAATCTCCCTTTTTGAGGAATATTTCAGTATCGGACTCTTAGATGAAGCATTACTGTGCGTGGAGGAGCTACAGTCCCCTGCTTACCATCCCGAGGTTGTCAAGGAAGGTATCACCCTTGCACTAGAGAAGAGTCGACCATGTGTTGGACCACTCGTGAAGCTTCTTGAGTATTTGTTTTCTGAGAAGGTGCTTACGACTAGTGACATAAGGAGTGGGTGTTTACTCTATGCATCTATCCTGAACGATGTTGGCATAGACCTGCCAAAAGCGCCAACTAACTTTGGTGAAATTATAGGGAAATTAGTCTTGGTTGGAGGTTTGGATTTCAAGGTGGTGAAAGATGTCCTGAAGGGGGTGGACGAAGACTATTTCCAGAAAGCTATATTGGATGCTGCAGTGGAGGTCGTTAGATCTAGTCCGTCAGGACAAGGCCTGTTGGAATCACAAGCATCTGATATTGACGCGTGCCGTAGCCTATTCTAGGAAGCATCCTCGGACATATTTGCACGCACGAGCACACTCGAGTTTCTGTAACCACGTGGGACTACACTCGCCCTCCTTTTCGGGTGAGTGATTTGTATTACACAATAGATGATGTGATAAGGTGGAGATGCCAAGGGACAAGACAGGTACTTTTTACTTGAGCTGTATATTTTCCGAGGTCATAGTTAGTGTGTGTTTAAGGAGGAAAGAAGTCGAAATCATAATGCGATGGATTTTGCTCTCGAGACGAGGATGGCTTAATCGCGTGCTGAATTTTCTCGAAGGATCCCGTTGTTTTTTGTACTCAATTAGTTTTGTTTTTGTCATTTTTTTAATCTTCCGGACTGATTAATTTTAGTTCAATGTTGGAACTAGCTCATAAAATGCCTTGTCTTTATATTCCCACTGTGAAATGAAATCGATATGGTTTTGAGCTTATTCCTTGAATTTGAGTGCAAATTTTCGTGTTTCGCTTTTCACAGTATCGAATTTACATTTTTTGGCTGCTTTGCCGAGATTCACGAAGCCTGATAGCCAACAGGATCCTCTCTGAATCTTTTTTCACGAGGATCCTGGAGATCCGTAAATTGTGTCAGTTTATCGTAAGTTTTTGTCAAGTACTGTTTATGTTTATTTTTAAATAAAAATATTTAAAATGATTTTTGATTACACGATATACGATGAACAAACACAATCTATATATTTCTAGAATCCTTACAAAGAGGATCCTGCAAGGATCCGGACTCGACTCGCCTAATAGGACCGGAGTGACTGCCGTCAGAGAGTGGCGCATTTTGTATCTTCGTGGCCGATCCATCTTCATCCTCTGCTCCCGGTCTTAATCCGAATGCGAGTATTCACCTACGGCTGATAAACTGATCAAACTATGGTTTTGTTTTATACCTATTTCTGTTTTCAGTTTTTAAGGTGAAAATGTGTGAGAAAAAAAATGATGATTAATGGGGAAAGTGGGGATCCATGAAATAAAAATTTGAAAGCAAGAGTTTATTTGAAAATGTTTTTAACATGATGAGAAAATGTTTTTGAATTTCAAACTCATTTAAAGTGGTTTCTGTAACAGGAAGCAATTTTTTTTACTACTTCGTGTATTAGACTCTCACGTTTTTTACTACTACGTGGATAACTCTTTTAGCTTGGGTATTTCTAAATATATCAAATGAGTAGTGTTTTTTAATAATTTTTGAGCCATCTCCCTCACTTTCTAACAAAAATATTGAATTAAAACTTATTATTAATATTTTACTTTTCCTTTTACGAAGGATTACCGATTAGTTGGTACATAAAACTTTCAACGGAATTTTGTATAAAAAGATTGCATAAACAAAACCAAAAGTTCAAAGCAGAGAAAATTTTCCCCCGAGATTGGGCAGAGTGACAGAGAAATGTCAGGCAGCGAGCAACGGAGGCGGCAGATTGTCTGCCCTCCTGTTTGTGAGTACCCTTCCCATTTTCTCGTATTTTATACGATCATCGTTAAGTTACGTTAATATTTTATATTAATATTTTATAAAGATAATAAGATCAAAAATAATAGGAATATAAAATGTTGATGTGATTTAACCGTGACCGTACAAATAAGAGGGAATGGGAAGGGCACCCAAACAGGAGGACAGACAATCGACCTCTGTGAACAACAGCAAGTAGCGCAGTCAGTGGCAGACGAGCAGTCGCTAACTGGTTAAGGTTAGAAAGTCGTGCTAATAACATGTTATAAATAGGTAAAAGTTAGAGATATGACATTTGCTAAGGATAAAAGCGAAGCGGATGAAAAATATCACACTGTTTAGTTTCGTAATTATAACACAAAAGGATTGTAGGTAAAAGAGGAAGAGATGTATACTGATATTATTGCTTTCACTTCTCTTCTTTGCTGTGTATTATAATCAAATACGGAGTACCCTTTATATAGAGCCACATATGTGACAAACACAAAAAGTGAAGAGTAATTTTACAACATTAACTTCAATCTATCTCATGTTTCTAGCACTTTCTAGTTCGTCAATAACTCCTTTAGATTCAGAATTTCTAACAAATTGCCAAATGAGGAGTAATTTTTACTAATGTTTTTAAGAAAATTTTAACGAAACATTTTCAGTATTGTTCATCTTTAACCAAAAAATATTTTTACTCTAAAAAGTTACTCCTGTACTATTCACTTACAACACATTTTTATTATTTTAATTAAAACTCAAAATTTTTAAATCATTTTCATTAGTTTTTTTTTTTTTTGAACTGTTTCCTTTATTATTAATATTTTACATTTCTTTTTACGGAGGATTACCGATTAATTGACACATAAAACTTTCAACGGAATTTTGTTTAAAAGATGTATAAATAAACCAAAAGTGAAAAGCAGAGCAAATTTTCCCGCGAGATTGGGTGGAGTGACAGAGAGAAATGTCCGGCGGCGAACAACAGCAAGTAGCGCAGTCAGTGGCGGACGAGCAGTCGCTGAGGGTAGCCGTCGCCATCTCTCTTCTCCGATCAAAACTTCTCCAAAATCAGCCCCTTCCTCCTCCTCCACCCTCTGTCGATCAATCCGACGCTCTCCGATGGAAGCGAAAGGTCTCTCTCGCATCTTTGAATTGAATGCACTTGAATTCCGATCAGAAATTCGTTAAATTCTGAAATCCAAGAAGAAGCCTAATCAATTGAGTTGTGCATCAGGCCAAGGAGCGAAAGCTCGAGCTTTTGAGACTCCGGCAGGATCTCAACGAAGCTGAAGGTCCTCTCTCTTCCTCTCTCTCTCTCCATCTATAAGCTGCTCAATCCTTAGTTTGATGTACTTTTCGTTTTCAGACGCTTCGCAGTGCGACTTGTTCCCGGAGAGCGCTTCCTGCAAGTGTTATTTCTTCGATGATTTGGGGAAATTAAGCCCTAGCAAGCGGCTTCCAGATCCCTCTCAATGCAGATTCAATGACGTCTTGCGACGCAGATTTCTTCGACACGGTTCTCATCATCATCCTCTTTCTCGTATTCTCATCAACTTTGTGTATGCACTTCGTTTCTAACAAATCATTTTCTTGCAGTGCGTTTCAAGGAAAGGAGAAGAAGAAGGACAAGCGGATCGTCCCAGCGCCGCCATTTCTCAGGTGCATTGGGCTTTGATTTAATTTAATTTTAGGGCAATTTGATCCTATTGTATCGATTCCTACCATTTTCCGGCTTTAAATTCTGTTATTTTATCATAAGATATTTAAGAGCTTTGTAATTTGGGGGTTTTGTGGAAAGTTATATGCATTTAGTAATTGCTAATGCAGACACAAACAGTGAAGATGAAATGGAGCAGCTTAGAGCTTCGATCGATTTTCTTGTGGAGCTTTGTGAAACCGATTCTCCTGTTAGATCCGTAGCTCACTTTATCATTTGCCTTTCGAAAAACAAAGAAACGGTTAATTATAGGTTGATTTTCTGGTGTGTTAATTGTAATCATATGCTTTCGTTCTAACTTGGATTCGTTGGAATTTCAGGTAGACGATGCTAATTTTGTGAACTGGTCACACCAAGCTGTAGATTTTATTCTAGGTAGCATGCTTGTTTCATGTTTTGATTGATCATGATCCGAAATAATCTATGGAGCAGGCACACTGAATTTATGTTTCCAAATTTCTTGAAGCTTCATTGAAGAATCTGTTATCCACGGGAAATAATGTGGAACTCATAGAAGGAATTATCAACAGCTTAATCACGCGTTTGGTTAGACGAATGTGTTTCCCGTTGCAGGGAAATGGTAAGCTATTGTTTCCAATTAGGTTGTGGATTACAATTTTCTTTCATTGTTAATCTATCATTTCGCTAATTGTGTTACTAATACTTTTTTCCAGGATCAGAACACTCTGAATCTGAGGCTCAGTTTTTCGTTCAGCATTTGATCCGAAAGCTTGGAAGCGAGCCTTATGTTGGACAACGTGCATTATTCGCAGTTTCTCAGAGAATTTCTGTCCTGGCGGAAAATTTCCTCTCCAAAGATCCATTTGATGATGCTTTTACAAACATGCATCAATGCATGTTCATACTGTAAGCATTCCAGATCCACAAAACACATTCTCGACTGTGATCATCTCTCCAATTTTTTCATCAGTTACTCTTATGCATTAGGGACCGAAACCCAACTTGCTTGTTTTCGGCATCCTTTTATTTCTTGACAATTTGGATATAAAACGTTGTTTGAGGATCCACAATCCCAAATACTGAGCAGAAAGGCATTACCATGGGATTTGAGATCCGTCCTTCGAGTGGCAAAAATCCGTTAATAGTCTCATTATTTCCCTAGACAAAAAAGCATCCTACCTTCTTCCCTCATGTTTCTTCCACTGAGTCTGCAGAATTGTGGATGCTTCCTTGTCAGTTTACCTAAGGTTAACCAGCATAACTTTGAAGTGCATATTTTTTACTTTTACATTCTTCATCAGTTTCCTACGGAACGAGATTTTGATATGATTTCTTGTAATGTGGACGACAGGATCCAGCTTACTGAGTTTTTGGTATCCGATTACTTATCTGAATGGTCAAAGGACGAAGGTTTCAACACCAGTACGTGTAGTAATTGCTACTCATTTCACAAACTTTCGACATCCTTGCGTTTTTTCTATCCATATACAATGCAGCAAATGCCAATTTACCTTCCAGATATTTTGAAGTGAGAAATAATCGAACGGCGGTTTGATATTTGCAGTGCTGTTTGAAGAGTGGGTGGCATCAGTTCTTCAAGCACGTAAAGCATTAGAAGTTTTGGAGAGCAGAAACGGGCTTTATGTGATGTACATGGATCGAGTGGTAGGCGAATTGGCAAGACTCGTGGGCCAAAATATGTCCCTGCAGAAGCTCAATCGTGAAGTTCTTGACAATCTGTTTCACTAAACCTCATCTCTGCAAATTATTTTACGAATTAATTTTCTTTTGGAACTTTGTCAATTCGCAGCAGATATCTTTTAAATTTCTTAAAAGGTTGAGATTTATGTTAATTGAGGGAAACCTCTCTAGGTAGAATTGGCGGGAGTCAGCATGCTTTTGTGAGAGGTGTCAATACGTGTGGGTGCTGATGATGATATTTCCTAGTCAAGTTCCTTTCCGACAATAACGAGACTGCATTTTTTGTACCGCATGCGAGCACGGGCATCCGTGTGAATTGATATGAGTTGGATTTGAGACTTTTTTTCAAACTTCTCGAAAGCAAAGTGCAATTAGATGTATTTTATATATCCATATGATGAAGTCCTTGAATTTCTAAAATGGTGCATAAAGAAGTGTTTCGAATCATTGCTATTTGACTCGAATCAGAAATTGAATTCACTGTTTAACATTAGTGGTCGAAGGTTTCGAGTGAGACGGGACAACCCCGAGACCACTGCCTAATTAATATCATGAAATCAGGACCAATGTATCGATGCAAGAAAATATATTCAACTTTGATGCCCGAGTATAATACTCAGGTTTTCACTAATGAGTACTTTATGTATTCTCTTTCGGATTTGTTTTAATCAGGAAATGACATGTGTCTCTTGTTTTCTAAAGGCAAAACAAATTAATAACATGTTCATTGTTTTTTAAAACAATAAAACATGTGTTAAAATATTATTGGACAAAACCAAAAAGTGAATACTCAAGTATTATCCTTTTAATTATATATTTATGATTTATCCATAATTAGTAGTAAACAAGTTTTTTTTTTTTTTAACAAACGATATTATCTATATTAAAAGGGAGGAGGTGAGCGTAGCCTCACAACGAGCTAGCAATAATGTAGTTCAAATTCGCATTTAGCGAGAATTAAACCTAAAACTTTTTACTTACAAGTAAAAAAAAATACCGTTAGACCGTAGTACTTCAATGTCTAGTAGTAAACAAGTTAGAATTAGACGGTTTATTATCTGCTTTGATGACTCACATGAAAATGTGTGGACTAATAGTCTTTGCTCGATGACTCACTTAAAAGCACAAATTCTAGCGTAAAGAGCTGGATTAGGTATTTACTAGAAAATGTGCCCGAGCGTTGCTGCGGAACTTGAATGTATCACCTTGAACTGCATGAATAAGATACATTTTACCAGAACAAATTCAACACAATCATAAATGAAGAAAGGGATAGATGAGTGAATGAGGTTAGTAAGATATGCAGCTTCGTTTTTATATACATTCAACTGAGCTGACATGAAAAGACATTGTACCATGAACAGGACGAAACTGAACGTTTTGGTTCCCTAATAAACAGAAGTAACATACAGTTCACACAAATCTTGCCCTTGTAGTCAATGTGGCAAAATATATATCATGTAGATTAGGCAACATAAAAACTGTTTCGTTCTTATTCTAGCATCTAAGTTTTCAAGGACAAACGTGCAAAGCAAAAAACATGCAGGAGAAGTAACATGCAGTCCACACATATTTTGCCTTGCAGTTAAGATGGAGTTTCGTTCTTGTTCAAGCAGCTAAGTCTTGAAGCAAAAATGTTGAAAGCCAAAAACATGTAGAACGCCCTGCAGCAGTCGTTCTTGTTCAAGCAGCAAAGTCTTCCGCACTATAGCAAAGAAAATAAATCATAGTTTAAAAGAATATCACACGATGGTCCTGTTTAGAATCACAATTTACTCCCCAATTTCCACCTAACTCCGAACAAACAATATTGATAAATCTTTATCATCACCTTTAACAAAACAGATCACAGCGAAAAGAAAAAAAAAAGTTCCTATGCGAACAAATTCTTCTGGATGTCCAACTTAACCCATCTATGAGAAGGCAAGCAATCGGACGTGCATTTAGACCAAGGAAAATAAATTATACAACTAAAAACATCAACCGATTCTCCTGAAGAGAACACACACACATGCCAACATATTATTCACCAGATTCTAAGCTTTCATTTTCGTTCTATCCCTTTCGTTATCTAAACTTATAATTATCAAAACAGCAATAGAATAATGGAGCAACCTTCAATCATTTATCAAAACTGAATTAATTAAACTTCTGCTCAGCACTCCGTTAATTTTAATTGCAACTCTCGTTCTAAAAATTAAAAATTTTGCATTTGAATAATCAAACGCACTTACACATTACATTCCTTTTATTGGTTCTTGACACAATACATTTTAGGATTCGATGTTACAATAATATCACTGAAACATGAATCGCGATAGATATAGAAACCAAACTTGCACACAAATGTTCGACTGAATTCAGAACCATTTAATTCAACATAACAAATTACCTCACATGCTTGCTCCCCTTCTGCTCTCGCATCGTTGGCTGCGCTTCTAAACGGTTAATGAAGTCCTAAAAACAGAACAACAAAAAACGTTTACCTATCCAACATTTCAACATATGGTTTTGGCAGGTATAACATTTCAACATAAGCATGATATAGAAAGACAGAAATCCACATGTCACTTTGTTTTTTCAGAACCAACAAAAAGGGCAACTATAAGAGAATGTAACCAATTTTAAACAGTAAATCAGTCTCCCAATAAAGGAGAACATAAGCATGACATACAAAGATCGAAAGGCAGATTTAATTTGGTTTCCTCAAAAGCAACGAAAAGGAGGCTGAATCAGATCAAATTAAACAAAGTGAAAACCGGATAGACAAAGATTAGAAATTTGCTTGCATCTCTATCATATCCCGCATTTCCTTTACAAAATAAACAATCATGAATACAAAGCACATGAAAATCAGCAAACCAAAAAAAACAAAGATAAACGCACAAATTTCCAAAGAAATTGAAATTGTGTCATGAAAATTAACTAACGAATCATATTGAGACATCTTTGCTTGGTGCTTGGCAATGCTCTAACTCACTATGGGGTTTTAAATTATTCTATCCAGGTACAATGATGGGGATGCACTGCCAGCTGATGACCAGTCATTTATACTTGATAATGTTCTCAATTACCATCCGGATAAAGTTGTTAAAATGCGTTCTAGAATCGGTCATCTCACAGTATGCTTATCTACCCTGTTTTTGCTTAACTGCGTTTTATTTAGAATTATGTTCAGCGCACTTTTGATGCATTATGCTTGGAATCTGTGACTGATTTTATTGTTATATTGGTTATTGTACTGTTCATTTCATTGTAGGGCAGACAGGAAACATTAAAATAGTAATGAAGCTCAGAATATTCGCTAAACACCAAAACCCACATCACATGCCCTCTACCCAACAAAGATAAATTAAAAACTACAATACAATGCTGAAAAACTAAAGTAGCCAGAAACCAAAAGATCTTAGTGACAACTTGCACGGACATTACAAAAATGCAGGACTCAAAACACACTAAAACGTCTAGAAACTCGAAGTTATCGCTATTTGGTTATGAAGATAGATATATATCACCAGGAAACCCAAAAAATGGCCAGGATTTGCCAAAATTTATAAATCAAACACATATGCATCAACTCCTTTTCCTCTGTTAGTCTGTTATCATCTCGCATGCCACACTATTCGAGATTGGATCAATTCGATCACAGCCAAACTGCCAGCATTAAACTTAAGGAAGTACCGATCAAATGATCTAAACATTGTGTATTACAGATCCAAATCAATAGTGGTAATAAATAAGATAATTTCAGCTGTCATTTGCAATTAAAATTGAACAATGCTTATTCCCAAGGAATATCTGACAATGATTGCAGCAATCAAATGTGCGTTCAATTGAATTAGCTATGTATTTTGAGGATTTGGGAAAGGTTTTTTGAGAGTAAACAGACGTTAATTATTAGCTATGTATTTGCTTAACAAACAGTAGCTGAAATTGCTATGTATTTTTCAATGGGGAATTTAAAAACCAATCCCAATTTGTCATTGCTCAAACAAATTGGAATTTCAGAACCAATCTCAATGATCAAATTAACGAAATATTTCTTAAGCTAATTTAGAAAGGCAAATTGCAAGATTTTGAAGGAATTTGAAAAATGAGGGAGAAAAAACCAAATTAGAAGGTCGTGCCTTATCTCCCTCACAAAATCAATCGCACAAAAACCATAGCTTTTGATGGAATTTCAAAACCAAACAAATCTCAAAGATAAAGTTGTCATATAAACATGTCTAACACAGATTTCTCAATTATTAACACTACTCTTTCCCAATTATTAAAAACATAAAGATCAAAGTCAATTGGGTGTATAATTATATACCTCATCATGCCAAGCAAAGCAACCAACTTCTGCCTCCAACGACCCAAAATTCTGAAAATTCCAAAAAATTTAATTTAAAAAAAAAAACATTTAGAAAGATAAAACCCAGCATAAGAGAAATCTACAAACCGGATGCCAGATCATCAAAAGATTAAAAACCACTCAGAATCAATTAGCATTTGAGTCTAAATATGAGAATTTGTGAATTTGTTCCATAGGATAGTTAACAGGATACTATCATATCAAAACCAACGCTGAATAAAATTAAGCAATGAGATTGCGATGATATAACGTCATTTCCTTAAAGCTTCATATACTAACCTAAAAAAGAAAATATGGGAAGAATAGACTGCCTCCATTGGCCCTCCAAGTCTCCTAACCACCAAACCACCCGTCTAGATGCATTTGCCTGTTCTTTCCCACAATTCTTAGAGATCAAATAGAACCCTCGGATTGACCGGGGACAATATGGAAAACCTTTTTGAAGCCGTAATACAGGAAGACATGAATAATTTTGACAGAAAGACACACAAATTGTTGAGGGAGGATGTAAAGCTTCTGCACGGAAGGTTTCTAATCTTGTACATCTAAAAAAATTAAATGAAGCAAGAGAAATTCAACAAAAAAACTTGATAACCCTTGCCAAAAAGAACTCACTAAATTCAAAGCATACCATCTACACTGAGTCACTAACATACATTGCTCAGTTAGGACTCTGTTATACTTATCATCCTTGATCAATGTAATCATATATTTCATAGCTACACTCCCCATTGACATACACTAACATAGCATCTACTTTTTTGCTGACTTTATTTGCTCAGTTAAGCAATAGCCAACATACACAATCTGACAATCATAGCAGCTACAGCAATCATCCATAAATGGGCAGAAATACAAATACACATATTGGGGTTTGGAACAAATAAACCAATCATCCAATTCGAATGTTGTTTGGAACAAATACACAAACCATTCAAGTGAAATGGCATTTGGCACAAATACATTTTTCCATTAATTGGATATTCAATTAACTGGGATTAAAAAATGATTACCAAACAAAAGCCAATTTTCTAAAGAAAATTAGTGTTTTATACCTGCCAATTCCAAAGGCCTGTATACGCCCAAAATTGAGGGATGGTGACATCTCCAATTTGGAGTTGGGGATCTGCATTTCCTGCAATTCCATAGTGTACAATAGCTTTCACCTTGAATAGGGTTTGTAGTAATTGAGTTGAGATGCCTGCATTGAGCTTTTCACAGGTTTCTACATCAATTTTTTTCGAGCAGGTTTCTACAGAAAATACTTCAATAATATTGAATGATACGGGAAATAAATGGTTAAGATTTACACTAAAAGATTTAATAATTGTCGAATCTAACGGATAATACACTTGTAGTATTGAAGCCAGACACTGTTTCTACATCATTTATTAAATACATTATCTATGATATGCACTGACCAACGAAATTAATCAAAGTAAAACAGATGGTCATCTGCATAATTAAACATACCATGCTCAATCCAGTCATAACAATTATAACCTTTTTGTCTTCCAATCGTCCAATTCGAAACCTTCTTCCTGTCAAATTGAGTATGTAGAATTTGGTCCAAAGTTAATTTTTCTTTCAATTACAATATTCTATGTATTTATAAATTTCAGAGCAGAACGTGCAAAGGCAAGAAAAGCAGCAACAACAACAAAACTCGTATATACCATGAGCTATAAAGATAAACATTTTAGCAAATGATACTGATTTCCGCATACTCATTATTCTCCATATACACTCGTGTTTATTTTGGCCATTTGAATTGAATAAAAAAATATAAAAAAATAAAAAGACAAAAATTCAAAGGTGCAGAATAAGAAAATAGTGTGAGAAATCAGTTTCTTTTAGGAAATATATGTACATATCACTCAAAGAACACCCATGTAATTATACAAACTTAATGAATATATATATATATATAATTTTATGCTTACCAGCAAAATCCAAATACGGTAGCCTCTGATAAGCCACAAAGCTTGCAAATCGAGGCCCCGGTGAAGCATAAGCATTACAGGCCTGCGGTGAGTTCTAGGTCACCTCCTCCTATCTCTCTCTCTCTGTCCACATGAGAAAACCACATCACCCAAAAGGTCAGAGATTCTCCGACCACTGTAATCCCTGAAGATCTCTTCCGCCCGCCGACTCGAGTCCATCTCCCTGCACTTCTCCTTCATCCCACCGAAGCTCTCGAGTTACAAAAATGAAGCCGAGTTTGTGTGGTTTTGGTTTTAGGAAGCAGGTGCCGATGCTATTCCAGAGATGGTGTTGTGGCTGCTAGGGTTTGAAAGTGAAAACGAAGCCAGAAAGTTGGCTAAAAGCACCCGAGTGGCAATCTTGTAAATAAACTGAAATGTCCTACAAAACACTGTTCATATGAATAGTGCGATTTCCCCTCCTACTTTAGACTAAAGTAATGCGAACAACTTATACGAAATGAATATATTGTCACCTTAGTGCCTCAATCTTATCATGCATGATAGCTAAATTGAGACGTCAAACTGAAGGCGTTCCCATTTCATACAAGGGACAAGTTACTGATGCTATATACTGTAAAACTGTAACACTCTTAGGGTTTCACTTTAATTGCATACCCAAACAGTAATGGGATGCATATATTTATAACAATTTCAGGATTACAATATGAATTTGAAAACCCTGGATTCAAGGAAGTTTTCAAAATACAAACAGAAATATCACAACTACATTTAGCTTTACGTACAACAAACATTTGAAATACAAAAACCCTACAAACTAGGAATATCAGAAAAGATAGGAGTTGGATCAAAATCACAACTCCTCAAATCTCGGTGAGAACAGCTTGATCTTGACTTCGTCTAACATATACTTTGCACATAAATCAAGGAAGACTCGCCAATCATGTCCACATCACCTACAAAGGAAGACTTGTTAATCGTGAGCTAAATCATCGTTGGAAGGAAGGAGGGGTTGGCTGGGGGGAACAGATCCCCTCTGGATCTCTACCATCAAATTTTAGGAATTCGGATAAAATTTGATCTAACAGATATAATTATTATAATTTTTAGAGAGGCTTCTTGTTTGTAGTCTTTGGATCAAATTTCAAGAACTCGAATCTCCAGATCCTTAGATTTTGGTGGAAGAGATCCAGAGAGGATCTCTTTTCTCGGCTGGGCACTTGCTCTCTCTCATATTTTCTATGTAGAGGCCTTTCTAAGCCTTCCTTTTCCTGCTTAGAGATATCCTAGCTCCTCTCTATGTAAATGTAATAGCTCCTCAAATACTCAAATACAAATCCAAATAAAATGAATGTAGCCTAATTAAAGTGAACCATTATAAACTCTCCTGTTTATTTTGTGTTTAAAATTTTGTTGATACACTCAATATTTTCATAAAAATATTCAAAAAATCAGAGAAAGACATGGAAATGGTGGGTGAAGTCTTAACTTCACCTCTTATCGAAAACACTCTTACATTTAGACTAAAATTGACATATATCGTTAATATTTTTGACATATTTGTTAAATATCAGAGACACTCTTGTATTTTGTCCAATGAATGTTTGCCAATCCCTGAAGTTTCATTTTAAATTTTCATCATTCCCATCAAAAGCAACTGATATCAATATTCAATTTATTCGTTAATATTTCCACAAAATTTGCATATCAATATTTCCACTATACTAATATGTTAAACACTGTGTTTATTATGCACTAATTACGACATAACCCATTAAGTTGTCATCTCAATTTTTTGCAACAATGCAAGTCATTCTATTTCATATAAATCGTCTCATGCACACATAACATAACCCAATACTTAAAAAGATTTTTCAGTGTGCCCAAAACACAAGACAAAATATTACATATCCGGTATCTCGTGTTTCAAACACACTAAAGAATCTATGCAATACTTGGTCTCATCCACTAGAGGGTCCCCACACGATTGAGTGCAATATTGTCTGTTGGGCATAATATTCTTCCCGCGGAAGAACCTATGGATGCTACAACCCAGCCGTATATATGTTCGTTCTTTGGAAGAGTAAAGTATCAGAAGTCTGAAAAACAACACAACTACTCTTGGCCTGAAGAATGATAAGTGAGATGAAGTCTGCAGTCTGTCTCTCGCAGCTCGTCCTCGTTCTCCTTCTATTGATATCCTCTCAATCTCTTCCCAGCTCAGCCCATGCAACTGCCCACCTGAATAATCCTGCCAGGGTTCTTGCCGGCCAACAAGTCCGGATGCAGCAGCAGGAACCAGAAGCCGCTGCAAACAATTACGATTTGAGTACTCCGAAGCTTGGGATTCACAAGAAGATAATACATAGGCCGACTCCCAAAGGGCAACGTGCCAAATCATCATCGTCCCCAATTTCAACTCAGATGCCTTCCCTTGCTTTGGGTTTATCCCTTTGCCTTTTCTTCTTCCTCTTTTAAATTCTCCGATGCAATTTACGTACAACTTGCTACTCAAATTAGGAATACTTTTCTCTCTATATCAAGTACGTATACTATGTATATATATCCGTATGCGTATATGTATATGTCTCCGACCATTCTTAGAATTTAGAAGTGTTATTGCGTTATCAATATTATTATTACCCACATGTATACATACTTGTATTGAAAAGCTTGAAAAGGACTTATATGTATACTTAGTTTCGCTTGGCAAATGACAATTTACAAACTTTTACATCATGTGGTCCTCATTAACTCATTCTCATGAGAAAATTTTCATTGTAACGGGAATATAAGTGGTATACTACGTATTTTATAATAGAAGTGATGGGAAATTTTATTTTATAAGTTATTAACTTTTTAGCACACATATCCTATTATTTGTATAGTGACACGTTGTGTATTATCCCATGTACCGATCACACTAAAAAATCTCTCCATTCTAATGGTCCACCTCACACAAATTTACAAAAAGGTACTAAAAAAATAAGGTGGTTAAATTTCCGGCCCCAAAGTCATGCAAAAGGATTTTGTCTCTCCTAATACTCAATACCAACGGTGCACAAGCACAACGATAAATTGACAAATCGCACAACGGGTTGGGATTAGGATGGATTTGAGAAAAGCACATATACAATGTCGATATTCTAAAAAAATCACGCGAAAAAATGAGACAACAAATCAAGCTTATTGCGTACAACGTGTACTCCCTCTAAAATGTTATTACTTAAGCACATTTTTTTATATACTTTTTAGAAGCCTGATTCCAATTTTGTTTGGCTAATGTAAATTCGTTAGTCTCCCTACATTCCTATTTTCCTACCACCTCCATTTGCATGAACATTATCGTAGGCTACGCAGGGAAGGGAGAAACAAAACCATGTACGTAACCGTTACTCCTCAAACCATATCATCTCTAATAATTAAATTATCCCGAGGAGGTGTGCAAACCCTAATTTTCTCCAGAAGGAATTAGGGTTTTCAGAGAGAAAAATATGATGAGGTCGTTTCGACGTAAATTTTTATTGTTTGTAATCCTCTTCGTTGCCGCGCGTGACGATCATACTCAGAGAGCTTTGGCTGAACAGGATCGTGATCGCGATCGCAATCCCGACCGTTATATGGAAGGTGTATGCAAGAAGCATCATAGGCAAACAAACGAGGTGGTTTCGTTGCATGGCCGTGCGTTAATTGGTGGTGGGGGTGGAGCTACATCCCTCAGGAAGAAACGTTGCCGGGAATATTATAATAAAATTTCTAATTCGTCTCACGCAAATATGACATCTGCTGCTGCTGCTGCAATCTCAATTTCTCATCATGTGTGCGTCGCCATCCTACCAGCTGTGTTAATCTTCGTTCTTTGTCCATTCTTTCCATTGTGATGTATGATGTATGTATATGCTATTGATATCATCACCCCCACATAAATTTGTGTGTTGTTTCTTAGAAAAGAACATAGAAACTTCATGTTCCTGATTTTGATGATCATGTACGACGCACGTATGTAAAAAAAATTGTGTCGTATTGTAGCACTTCTACCATTGATATATTTATGTTGAGGGTTTGATTCTCGGATGTATTGGATCGGAATTAATGGATGAAAATTTCTAAAATTTCAAAAGGCATGCACATTTATTGAGATTCAGACTGGATTTGCAGACATGGAAGAAGAGATGAATTTCCAAACCTAGTTATTTTCCTCCTTTAGGGAACTATTAATCCACCATATTAAATTAACTCTTTTTGTTAAGTGCTTTATACTCTACATCGAATCACCTTAACTTTCATACTAAATGATAGCTAGAAACATGATGAATATGGTGTATTTTTGCTTACCACCTTCAAGTAGTAGTAATACTCACCACCTAATTAAATTTCCAAACCTAGTTTTTTTCCCTTAAGATACTAGCTATTAATCCACTATTAAATTAACTAATTCTTTTTGTTCATTGCTTTACGCTTTTCATCGAACCAACTTGACTTTCATTACTAAGTGGTAGCTAGATGCACGAGGAATATGGTGCATTTTTACTCATCATCCATTTGCTCACACCTGAATTTTCAATTAACCTAGTTATTTTCCCCGATATTATTTATCCACCATATTAAATTACGTAAGTCTTTTTGTTAATTGCTTTATACTTTTCATCGAATCACCTTGACTTTTATTACTAAGTGGTAGCTAGAAACATGATGAATAGGGTGCATTTTTGCTCATCACCCTCGATGTTAGACAAATAAGGAATATGGTTGGAGTCCTTGTGTAATTGTATATAATATTATTCACTAGCCGTCCTACAGCCGTCAAGCCGTCCTACAGCCGTCCTACCTTGTCCTACCTACACACTAGCCGTCCTACAGCCGTCAAGTCGTCCTACAGCCGTCAAGTCGTCCTATAGCCGTCCTACCTTGTCCTACCTACACACTAGCCGTCCTACCTTGTCCTACCTACACACTAGGACGGCTACCTTGTCCTACCTACACACTTGTATCATGTATATATATCCTTGTAATCTTGTAGAGAAAGATAATGAGAAAAAAAGCATTCTCTTCCATTTTTTCCACATTCACGTATCAATAACAAATATATTTTTAGCCTACATACCTTTTTCTACATGGTATACAGAGCAGGTTTATAACCCTAGCCCTAATTTTTTTTTCGGCAGCTTTCTCTGCTGTTCCCATGGCTGACTCTTCTTCTTCCGATGGTGTTTTTTCCCTTCATCATTCCGACCACCCGAATCTTGTCCTTGTATCCAAGAAGTTGAATGGTGATAACTACACATCCTGGGCCCGTGGCATGCAGCTTTCCTTGAGTGCCAAGAATAAACTTGGTCTCATCACAGGCGATAT